TTTCATGTAAGGATCTCTGGAAAAACAGAAGGCGTCCAGGATGGCCAATCGTGTGATCCTGGGACCCCCGAAAACCATTTCTTCTGAGCGCATTTTTCTTTGCGGCCTTTGGGGTCCCTGTGCGAGCCGCTTGGCAACTTTTGGACGGCTCGGCCCGCAACCCCCGAGCACGGAATCTGAGACGCAAAAATCGGAGCTCAGAACCAAGGATCTCACAAAGGACGCAAAACCCAGAAACCCAAAACCCTAAGGTTTCACATAGTGCCACGACTGTTACTCATGCACATAGCCTGACCATGTCCATTCAAATCAATTCAGCACTTTCAAGCTGACCACCGGAGCAGCGTTCATGCATCCGCAGCAATGGCTCTCAAATTTGCTCTTTCTTGCTTTTGCGGCAACTTGCCCCTGACTTGTATTTCATCCATGATGCCAACGGCCAAATGCTTGTGCCTGGCGAGTCGGAAGGAAAACAAACACCTCCAGTGCGTTGCCACTTTGCGATCTGCTTATTTTGCTGTTTTGCTGAGCTGCAAGCAGCAGCAAATAGCTCTGCAACGCCCATGTGCGCCGTCCGTGGCCCGAAAAGGACGTAAGTCGGCCGACTCTCAGCGGCAACCGCAGAAAGAAGAAAAAAACAAACACGGCTGGGCTCCAGCTCCCCTTGCTGCGTTCTCCACGCACTCCGCCAGAAAAAAATCAACTGTGATAGAACCAAACGGCAAATGCTCAAACACTTTTGACCGTGGTTTGCATTCCAAGCATGAGCAGGACCTACAAACCAACAATTCACCCACCACCAACGCAGAGCGGCCCAACCACTCTTACTATGAGCGAACTGCATCACCCGAAACCCTAAGCTTTCACGTTCAAATTTCCCTACTGATGCACAAAGTCGCTGTACCCTACAGCAATAGCTCGCAACTCTGTGTTTGTTGCTTGTGCGGCAAATTGCCCCTGTGTGTCAGCTTCATCTGTGATGCGCACCACTAATTGTTCACTCGTGCCTGGCGAGTCATAAGGAAATGAAACACCTAGTCACAACCACTTTGCGAGATTTTGCTGAGTTGCCGCTTGCAAATAGCTCGAGCGCACGTGCAGACCGTCAAGGCCCAAAGTGCGACCAACACATGCCTCACTACAGCGCAACTCGGCGCACGCCTGCAGCCCTAGTCTGCGCAGCTAGTTTGCAACGTCACAAGGCTTGAGGGGTCCGCAACGCAAATAGCCGCTTGCATTCCGAGTATGGCATCCTGTGGGAGCGCAATCGCACCTCAAACCAACCAACCTGCAACACCACCGACGCACGCCGAGCCCCCTTCAGGTTTCACATAATCAGTGCCACAACTGTCTCTGCCATTTCCGTTCAGATCAATTGAGCACCACTTTCAGTAAGTTCACATCGGACTCTGAAAAGTCCAGACTTGCCATCGATGGACGAAGTCCCCTAGCGGCAAGCACCAAAGAAAGGTTGGGCTCGGCAAGCTCTCAAATTGCCTTTCCATAGTAGGACCTGAGAACCAGAGTGCAACCGTTTTCAACGCCAAAACCTCGCCACCTCGCATCACCCAAAACCCTAAGCTTTCACGTTCAAGTTTCGCAATTCCCGCTGACGCGCATAGCCGCCGCCGACGACCGCGACCCGCACGCTAAACCCTAAGGTTCGCTGAAGCACGCACACAACAGCAAATTCCCGGGCAAACTCTCATCCACTTTTCAACAATTCACGCGGAGCAACATCATCACCATTCCATTCTCAGCACTGTCATCGAAGCCCCAACAGCAATAGCTCACGCCTCCGCATGTTCTTTGTAGATTCATCCCTGTGCAACGCCTACCTGGCGAGTCATGAGAAAAAAATACGATCTGCTTGTTTTGCTTAGTTGCCGCTTGCAAATAGCTCCAGCTCACGTGCAGACCGTCAAGGCCCAAAGTGTGACCAACACATGCCTCTCGGAATACAAACCAAACTACAGCACGGCACCGGCGCACGCCTGCAGCCCTAGTCACCACTAAACTGCAGCTGCGCAGCTAGTTTGCAACGTCACAAGGCTTGAGGGTTCCTGTGGGAGCACAATCGCACCTCAAACCAACCAACGGTTCACCTGCAACATCACCGACGAACGAACAGCACCCTGAACACTAAGGCTTCACATAGTGCCACACCTGTTGCTACTGATGTTTTATAGTTTGACCATTTTCCATTCAGGCCAATTCAGCACTTTCAGTTTGTTGAGGATCTTTGCACACTCAGGGTTGCACGATTGTGGGGGGCGGGGGGGGGCGGGGGCGTGGGCGGGCGGGGGGGCGGGCGGGCGCGGGCAGGGCGGGGTCGTGGCGGGTGTTTGCTGTTCAGAATCGGCGGACTTGTCAACTTCCTATTTATTCAAGTCACGGACAGCTGACACACTCGGAATGACAGCAGCTACTCGCGCCCCTACAAATCAGCCATGAGGGAATTGAACATGTTTGGCAGCTTTGCGCCGAGTTGTGCTGTAGTTTGGTTAGTCGAATTTAGGGCTGTGAGGGTTTGCATGCGCGTTGCAGAACTACTTGCACGCAGCAACTAAGCAAAACAAGCAGATCGCAAAGTGGTTGCTACTACCAACAGTTAGCCTCAAACAGTTAGCCTAGCCGTTGGCATCAAGGATGAATCTGACACACGGGGGCAAGTTGCAACACAAACAAAAACATAACTGTAAGCTATCGCTGTAGGGACTTTGTGAGGTCTGAATGCACCTTGAGCTTGCAACAACTTTGTGCACAGCTGCAACTTGAACACGAAAACTTCGGGTTTCGGATGACGCAGTGGCTTCATACCACGGACAGCTGCCATTTTGGCTCAAAAGCCCCATGCACTTGTGAAAACCCTTGCGGCACGCTCTTCGTGAGACAATTTACAGGAGTATTTACCAGTTGTACATCAACGGGATTGTAGTAAAATAGATCTTGGGCGACAGCGCCGTCACCACAGTCGACACACCTTTCTGAGGGGGGTAGTGGAGAAAAAACCACATGGATGTCTATTGCAGTGCTGTTGCAGTTGAGTAAGAGAAGCCGAGTGAAGCTGGACTGAACAACTGACATCAGCAACTCGAGCATTTGCGCTGCCTGCGCGCTGTTGCACCCAAGGAAAACCAAGTGAAGCCGGAGATTGAACAACTCACCTGACACGCTGAGCGTTTGCGCTCCTTGCACGCTACCGGACAACAATCTCCATCATACCCTTATACATTTGCATTGACTCCTTGAGAAAGGAAGTGAAATGAAGCCGAACAACAACTACACATGGACAGCATTGCATAGGTATTGAATTTGGTAGTATCAAGTTAGCAGCACTCTTCAAATACAACACCACTGGCCTCGCGCCGACGTCAGCCAGTGACCTGCGCTGCGTACGCAACCACGCGCAAGGCAAGTGAACGCCTCGTTGTGTAAGCTGTCTGCGTGTCCAAAAGTTTCGCCCAGGTGGTGGTTTCTCCGCGGTGCCTCAGTAGTTTGCCTGCTGCGGCCTACGCCCTGTTCGCAGAATTCGCAACCTCCAGCTTCCCGCGTGTTCTTCTCAACGAACAGCTTCAGCAAGGCCACCAGAACTGCCGTCTACTGCTCGGATGATCCGAAGGTAATCTGCTCGAGCAGCAAAAAAAGTTACACGTGACAAGGGACTGTGCGAAGGGCAGACGCAGGACATGGTTTCCGGGATGGACACTGAGCGGCAGAGGCAATGAAGTCTGGCGCGATTCGTAACCGTGCGCTGCGCGGAGTTTTTCGGTTTCTTTTGTGATAGAATCCTGTTCACTGCTTGTCGAGCGAATGGCAGCTCTTTTCCTTTGGCAATTAGAGCCTCCGATTGCGGTGCATGTACATCATGCCTTGCATGCGGATATGACTGAACACAAGAACAATCCTCACATGCTGCCTTCATATCCGCTGCAGCTGAGACACTTGTGCACTTGTCTCCCACTCTTGTCTCGTGCGTGTGATACACGTTGCCGGTCGGCAACATTCGGACCGGACTGGCCCTCTTCCTAATGTCGCTACGTGCACTCACCTCCGGTTCGCTGTCGTTGGCCTCCTGAAACGTTGCCTTGCCGGAGATGATGATCCTATGCCGGCCAAAATGGCTAGCACCGGCCACATCCAGCTGTCGCTCTCCGCTCCGTTGGGTTCTATCTCCTCCACCTTGGTTCCGCTGTCACGTTGGCAAAGGCCATCACCAAAGCCATGCGATACTCATCCTTCAAGCCGCTGAAAATCTTCTTAGCGCCCTTGTCGCTCAGCATCTTGCGCTCGATGTCGCGGAACTCGTCCTTCCCGAGCACGCGGTTGTCGTCGTCAACCATGCCCGTCATGAACATCAGTCCTCTCATCCTGGCGCGTGCCAGCGCCTTGGTGCCAATGTCCGCGCTGTTGATACTCGTCGGAATGGCCGTCACCCTGATCACCTTCTCGTGGCATTTCTGCTGCAGCCACATCATGACTGGGTGTCGGGTTCTGCATTCCACTCTCTCGTAGTGCCATGGCACAGTACTCCGTAGACCACTCCTCCTGAAATCCGGAGATGACATACACAGACAGAGCCACTTGTTGCGCTCGCGGAGTCAAACCTCCGAAAGTCTTCTGCTCATATCGCATCTTCCCCTGACTGCGTGAGAGGCTGCGGATACGTCTTTCCAGCCCGGCTAACTCCTCCTGGCGGCAAAACGCTCTCAGCACCAGGCGCAACTAAGCGCAGTCCCACCAACCCCTACGTCGGCCCCTCTCGTGCCGAACCTTTCCGCTTGTATACATTACGCGGTCGGATGCTACCCGCGGGTCCTTCCGAATATAAGTGCATGTAAATCAGCGCAGCAACAGGCGCGGGCATGGGTCCGAGATATATGTCGGCAAAATTTACGGTGATGCTATGCTACAACCCGGAGCAAATAAGACATGCTATATAATAGTACTTGAAATGATACCCGTGCTATAGTCCCCCCTGGCAATACTGTGTTGGGGAGGACGGGCGCCCTTTTGGAAATGCAACGAAAAAAAAAACTCCAAGGCAGCCATTTTTTCCTGAGCTGTCTCGCGCCGGTCGGACGCTGGCCATCGCCTCGTGACGGCCAGGGTCGGCATCGACACGGGGGTCTAGATGCTCGTCTTGGACGAGCGCCACCGGGCCAGCGCGGTGCGCCTGAAATTCGATGAAACAACACGTACTGTGAAACCATTTTGTTACGCGGCAGCAGGTCCTGGATGTCCTCCAGCAAAGGCATGGATACCGGCACGGTCCGTGCCCGAGGGATCTTCAGGCATCGCAGATCAGCGGTCAACTGCTGGCGATCGGGATAGAACCCGCAGGCCTCAAAGGACGGCCGCCATAGTCTCGCCCGCCAGAAGTCGCGCACCAACAAAGATACAGCTGCGGCCCACCGCTCCGGCAGCACGCACCCGTCGGCCGCCTCGGCAGCCGCTTGAGCACGACGGACGTCCAGGGCTGCAGCATAAAGGTAAGCTTGGCCGGCACGTACACCAGGCGAATGTTCAGCAGGTCGGCAGTGGCCGCTGCGGAGTAGTGGCAGTGTGCTAGGGCACAGTCCAAGGTCACAGTTGTGCCGAGCAAGGTCTGCCTCCATGAGCCAAGAGCCACAGGAAACTGTCGAGCCAAGGGCTGCTTGGGCTAGACGGGCTGGATCGGGCGTGTCTTCCAGGCCCTCGAGGCCCTCGGGTAAGGTTGCCCTACGTACGACCGAGTCTCTCGACGAGGCGAGGTCTTCGTGCCACACGCGGCCGACGCGACGCGCGCGCTGTCGCGCGATGCGCTGTCTCTCTCGCAGCGCCATGGCGCAGTACTCCGTAGACCACTCCTCCTGAAATCCGGAGATGACATACACAGACAGAGCCACTTGTCGCGCTCGAAGTCTTCTGCTCATGTCGCATCTTGAGAGGCTGCGGATACGTCTTTCCAGCCCCGGCTAACTCCTGCTGGCGGAAAAACGCTCTCAGCACCCCAGGCGCAACTAAGCGCAGTCCCACCAGTTGGCCCCTCTCACGCCAAACCTTTCCGCTTGTATACATTATGCGGTCGGATGCTACCCGCGGGTCCTTCCAAATATACATACATGTAAATGAGCGAAGCGACAAGCGCGTGCATGGGTCCGAGATATATGTCGGCATAATTTACGGTGATGCCATGCTACAACCCGGAGCAAATAAAAAAATGCTACTTAATAGTATTTGAAACGATACCCGTGCTATCGCCCCCCGTGGCAATACTCCCAGGTCCCGTGCGAGACACCTCCCGAAAACACAGCGACGCTGATACCAGAAAGCGCTTCAATTTAATGGGAGGGACAGTGCCGCGCACGTCCTCCCAGCTCCAACCCACAGGCCTGGACTGCTTGCGCCGTGTGGAGCGCGGAGAAATGCATAGATCGCGGCGGTCTAAGAGTCCACTGCCGCCGGACACGGGTAGCTTGCATAGCGGGCTGCCTCCGCAGGCGACACTTGAGTCACACGGCCACCGAAATCGTGTGTGTTGCCGAGAGTGGCGCGCCTCCTTTTCGAGCGCTTGAGCCCAGGACGCAAGCAGTCAGGCAGCAGGCGAGAGTCTCTCGGTCGCCATCATCGATGGCGCGACTTCGCACATGTGTGCCGACTTAGGCCTATAGTCGCCACCCCTAGTCACCGTGGCTGTGGGCGCAGGCGTCGCCAGTCCGGTCGATGACATGGACTTGCTGGCGTCCTCCGCTTCGTCAGGTACCTCCTTTCCACTCTGGAAGCCTTGAAGTCGATGGAGCAGCAGCGCGTTCAACTTGTCCATGGTAGACTCGCGTGCTCGCATCTCGTCGTCCACATAGGCTCGCACGGAGTCTCGCATATCCAGCAGCACTCGCAGCTGCGACGACTGGCGATGCAGAATGAGCAACATTGCAGCTACACCGACGGCGGCGCAAAGCAGCAGCCAGGGGAGGGCATCCTGGCCAGGCCACGTTATCGAGGTCGAGAAAGCGTTTCAAAATGGTGGCACGCTTGCGAGCCGTGCTTTCCGAGGAAGTCGGGTTGCCGAGGTAGAGACTGTGCGTTGCAGTAAATCAGGCTATGCGTTTGCCTTTAAGCACTGTGGCATGCTGGGCCAGCACCCGCTGCGCGTGTGCAGCACACCCACGGAGACAGGCGGGCCGATGTAGTGTTGCTCTTTCTTGCGTTCCCCCCCCTGCACATCTGTGCAGGACTGATGCTGCGCTACACGCAGGGCTATTGGGTGGCCGCAGTGGGCAAGGTGGTTGGAAATGAATTTCAGGCCCGGCGGCATGCTTCCGGACCACAGACGACGCCACGCAGCCGGGATGGCATCAGTGGGGGATCAACTGGCACGGACGAAGAGCCCGGACGCCGATGAGCCGGAATGGCGTGACGGCCTGTGGGCCGAGACGAGACGGCAGTAGACTGCCAGTGGCGTCGCGAAGACCTGACCTTGTTCAGAGACTTCTATTTGGCGTGGCTCCCCCTTTGGCTTTGCGCCTATGCGGAATACCTTTTTTTCGGGCGCTCCATTATGCACAAGGTACAGGGGCAACTCCTGCCTCCTAGGTCATCAGGCAGGGGGTTGACATGGGTCGGGCTTTCTCTGTCTTTGTTTTCTGTGTTAGAATCTTGGTCACTGCTTCAAGCCTAAAGGGACAAGCGGGGAAAAAAGCAACCGACCGGAGCAAACTCGATACGCGCTTTTTTACTTGAGCGTTGCTTAGAAGTGCAGGCTCAGAGATGCAGGTGGAGTGACGATGCGCGTCCACTCCATGTTCCTGCATCTCATGCGGAGCCTGTCGGAATACCCCCCTGAGGTCAACATTGCGTGTTCGACCATCACACAGGGTGTTTTACCCGTGGGGTGTGAGACGAAAAAAGAGGTATGCTGCACATGTATGCAATGCGTGCATAAGTGTGCATGGGAGGATGCGTCCTCCTGCAGGGGGGCCAGTCCGGGCTGGCTGAATGCCGATGGCATTCGTCAATGTGCGCTTGCGTGCACTGCGTGGGCCTCGCTGCGTATGCTCGAAATGGTCCTGCGGGAGTATCGAGATGCAGTAAGCCGACGAAATGTTGGGAGCTGACCAGCTTCCGTTCATGCGGCTGCATGCGTCCCTCTATCAGGCCTTGTGGAGGCTGCATGCCACCTGGGCCGTGAAAGGGTGGGAGGGTGGGTTCAAAAAAGAACGAACGAGGGGTCAAACCCTCCAGGCATGTCCCTTACCAAAAGGCTTGAAGCAGAAATGGCACGCGGCCGAAGATTCAACCAAGATTAAAACGCAGGGGAAAAGACAAACCCCTAGCGTTAGAATCTTGGTCACTGCTTCAAGCCTAAAGGGACATGCAGGGAAAAAAGCAACCGACCGGAGCAAACTCGATACGCGCTTTTTTACTTGAGCGTTGCTTAGAGGTGCAGGCTCTGAGATGCAGGTGGAGTGACGATGCGCGTCCACTCCATCTTCCTGCATCTCATGCGGAGCCTGTCGGAATACCCCCACTTTAGAGTTCTAAGCAAACGGTCAAATCACCTTACCCCCTCTTTAGTGCGTTTGCGCAGCAGCCACGTGCTCGGGTCTCCACGGTGCGTCCGCAGGGTGAAGTGTGAGAGCTGATGCGTGAGGCCAGAAATCATGCGGCCTGAAGCGCACTCTGGCTTCTGGTCGAGCATCGAAAGCGGAGGTATTACCTCTGCTCAGCTGGTCTGCCCAGATGTTGTGCTCCCCTGGGATGTGTGACGCGATCACGGACCATTTGTGCTTATGGGCCCAGGCAGCAACAAGTTGCACAAAGACTTGCAAGGGCCAAGAAGTGGTGAACAGTTTATTAACACCGGCTTCGGAAGCTGTGTTATCTGTTCCTGTGGGCATGCAAATGCCACGCACGCCTTGTCCCTCGCAGGACCACGCGATCCGCATGAGTGCTAGTTGGGCCAAGGTTTCGAAGCATGCGATGTAACGCTGGGCTTCTTTGGTCAGGCGTGGCCATTGTTCCTGGACTTCTTGGAATTGCCAAGTTTTGTGGGATGTCTCTGCGACCAACGCAATCAGAAGTTGCGGGAGTATCCCGTTGCGGGAGATGAACCCTCTCTCTGTTATTTGTGAAATCTAAAACCGCTCACAGCGCATCTTCAGAGGTTATTATTCAGCAAATGTGGATTCTGCTAAAATTTGTTGGTTTTGCGCGGTGCGGCCACAGCCCTTCTGCTTGCACTTCTGCAAGGGTTTTCCGCCTGCTTCAATATGCAGGCAAAACGGGTCCTAGTCGCATTCTGTGCGTCTCGGAAGTTTAAGTTGCCCGGGCTTAAAGTGCTGTTTCTGGCTTGTAAGTGCGTTTCTGTTGCGGAGCTTTGTGGCTCGAAAAGCATGATAAATGCTTTCTAAGCGGTAACTCAGAGCAGAAGGGTGGTTGAGTTTTCTTGGCCTCATTTGTGCATGTGAGCCTTGGGTTGCGTCTCCGTCAATCCTCCGG